TAACGAGGAGTCGGCATGCCCTACTTCTCGTGTTAACTTTATGAATCCTACCAGGCTCTCGTGCAAGAGAAAAGCGTAAGTTCTGAAGGAATTAGTACAAAACACCCAACTGCTATAAATGCCCATAGGCAACTTGGCACTGCACGTTAACAGACTCCAAGCCCATGTAATTATGCTCATAATTGATTACACATGTAGAGTGACGACAGCAAATCCAAATCCTTCAAGAACCTACAACACTTTGGGTCTGATTCCCTTTTGACCACTTTAGGTGACTCGGATCATCAATCCCAGGTAAAGAAAAAGGAGTGAAAAACCTGCTAGACCTGGATCTGGTCAGAATTTCTTCATACAGCACTCTTCTGTACCAACACTGGGTTACACCAGATGGAAGTCAGTTTAAGGGCCATTGAACACTGACTCTTAAATGTATCTGTTACGGGAAAATGTGTAAATAATTTCGCACAGAACCACTGCAGTCTGAACAATTTTTTTGTTTTCATATCTTCCTGCAGTGGAGTGATTCAGCAGATACATATTATTCTTTTTCTCTTTAAAAAAAAAAAAAAGAACAGTTTGAGATTTCATCAATGTTATGATTAAAACATTTATATGAGTGTATTACCTAAATGGAAGTGGGAAGAGGAAATAAGCAGAGGCCACATTTTTCCATTTCGCCCACACATGGGTACATACACAAACACTCACCACACCCCCACATCCATCTGCCTTGCACCAAACAGGGGGTAAACACTCCTCCACCTTCCCAGCTATCTGAGCACTCACTAGCCAAAGACTGGTGTCACAGATGAAATCTGGCAGAAGAGCATAGTATTTCCCTCCTGTGTCTGCTCAAGTACTTCTTCCTCCTCTCCTCTGTCCCTGGTTAATAATACTACTGTTTTAACTTCTGGTTGTCAGTAATTTTTCCTCCTAAAATTCTGCTTTTATCTTTACTGTAACATAAATTCTACCCCACTCCTGCATTTATAGCAAAATAGGTAGTACTGAATTAAAATACAATCATCCTGGCAATTTTGCATATACTTTACCAATTAAAAACTTTTTCTAGATCTTTTGAAAAAAATATATCCAACAACTATCAAAGCCACCAACTCGGTCATGGTTAAAATTATAGGCAATGCCTGAAATAGTCTGAAATTAAATAGTCTGTCTTTAAACTGAGGACTGCAAAAGCACATGCAATACATACCTTATGGATTAAGTCATTAAAATCTGTGCTACCGCTTTTTGTTTTTCTTTTTAAAACACAGACAGATATAGCCCTAGGCTCAGGAAACCCCAAGTCACAAATCATGGAGACAGCAATAGTATTTGGGGAGATATCACCTTATAGCTGCAGTATTTTATTTCTCTCTAGGCATTCAGTGGAAACAGAACACCAAGTTAGAAAGGCCTTTGATCTAATCCAGTACGACAATTTTTCAAAATACCTGTATTTTTTATAAAACTTAAAAGCTTACATATCTGTGGAAGCTGCCACCTCAGCTAGCTTAACAGTGAAGGACACCACAAAGGTGCACCCTTTCAGGAATATGACTGAAATTTAATCGGAACACACCTTCTGAACAGTATCTTATCAGCACTAAAACTGGTAAAACAAGAGCCATAAGCGATTAAAAAATATTGATGAAACTTCATTAAATAGTACAGATTACCATGTATCTGCTACAGCATTCATTAATTTTTGTTGCCGATTACTAAAAACCTCTCTCAGTTAAGTAAGCAGAGACTGTCTTTGCTTGTTTTTAAACGGAGTACATCAAGCTCCAGACATCTAGAAGCCAACGTGTATCTTCACACATATAGCATGAATTCATCCACATTGCAGAATTTATTCTACACTTTTACTGATATCACCTCCTGGGATGAGCCAAAGTTTTTCCTTACACTGTTACAAAACCAAGTAGACCAGAAGGACCTGCACGCTCTATTCAGTAGCCAGCAAGTATGTGCGTATGTGATTAATGTACACTTATTAAATGTTACTGACTTGATTTACTAAATCTTTCCAGCTTCTCCTGCATCTGTTTTTCTCC